CAAGCATTCTCTACTGGTCCTTACAAGATTTTCATCGAATGGAGACCTATTCCTCTTCCCTTTGTGCATGGAACTCCTCTGGGTTTTCGAATTCAAGTGAATGATGAAATTGTGAACACCACCAGCATGGACACAAAGTACTTTGAAATAAAGAATCTTGAACCTTTAACTAACTACAGTGTTTCGGTATTGGAATTCAATAAAAATGGTGATGGACCACTCAGTCCGCCAGTCTATGTAACAACGATGCCACAAAGTAAGTAATAACGAAATGTAAGRTATAGAAAGGATTTTAAGCGCATATGGAGAAATTTCTCTAGCTTTGAACATTAAACTCATCAACATTAGATGAKMTYGGCGTTAGRTGCTTGGTTGAGAAATTTGCGTTGGTTGGAATGGTATCGGTATCCATGGCAACACCATCACCACCTGTCGCACTGACGCTTGTCAGTGGAGTRCTTACCTRAACCAAAGAAGGAGTGGACGGGAGGGAACAAGTTTGCATACAGCGTAAAGTTAGCGTTTGCGTGGGGCGAATAGCGACCTTCGTTGCAGTTAACCAGTCCTTACAAACTGAACATGCTAGTCATCTCAACCGACCAATCGTAAGGCGTTTAGATAGTAAGTTGAGATAGCGCGCTCAACCTGGTCGATATAGATAAGACAAGCCCTGCCACGGCATGACAAGGCGTTGATAGTACGCTTATTGATCTATTAGGAAAGCTGCGTGATACSCACTAATGTCTTAGTTTAACTTGCTTAAATATTTTATTCAACCCCATTATGTTGTGAAGGTCCTCTCAGCGGTGTGTGATGAACAACTTTCACTATCGCTCGGTCCATACTTCCAAGACCTCGGTTGAACATTCTTTACATATTTACATATTTCAGCAAGAGTATATCTCTTAATTTCATTCGATATTTTCTATTTTTTAGACTTTGTTGCAGTAAAGTTCACGATGATGATTAAAAATGAAATATATAGCTCTGATCTGTCGGAAAGGAGCTCTACTAAATTCAAAGCGACGGAGAATAAAGTAAAATCGAAGGTAATTATCTTATATCACAGCCATTCATTGATCTAAAGTGAAAGCTTTTCTTAAAACAGCATTTTCTTATTTGGAAGTATTAAATATTATACAATTTCCACATAAAGTATCTTCAAGAATTTGTAAGCGCTGAAAATGAAAATACAATTTTTGTTATAAGATGTTCCAATGCCAAATATTACTCTTTATCATTTCAGCTCAATGATTTATTTCAAAATGTACAGTCAGAGAGATATCGTTTGTATCAGATAAAGATCATCAAATTCTTGTAAGTATAGCAAAGTTGTTTCTACAGTCATTCAAAAAGAATAAAACCTATGGGCAAGGAATACTACCCGACGGAAGGGKATTGTAGATGTTAGATATATGAGGCGTAAGTGACATTTTATACAGCTATTTAATTGCTTTTCAT